AGTCAGACAGGCTGGTGGTGGTAAGAGGGTTTGTACTGGCACGGTGACAGTAGGAATAAAATGGAGGCAATGAGTGCAAGAGAGGACCAACCTTGAGGACCTCGACTGAAATAGGGAAATCAGGAGGAGGAGCATATATTGAGTTTAAGGTACCAGTAACTTACCTAGCTAGAGATATACAGCAAGCAATTGGAAATGGAGATCTGGAGCTAAGGAGACAGGGCAGAACTTGGTATTTCAGAGTCATTCATCAATGAGTATTTATTAAATATCTGCTATATTCCAGGCACTGTGAATACAAAGACAAACCTAAGAGAGTTCCTGGCCTCAAGGCAGGATTCTAACAAGCACGATATGTGTGCATAAGCGTATTAGTATTGTATAAGGGCAGCTAGGTGGTGCCATGGTGCACAGAGCACTGGGCTTAGAATCAGGAAGACTCATCTTTCTGAGTTCAAATCCAGCCTCAGACACTTACCAGCTGGGTGACCCTGGGCAAGTCACTTAACCCTGCTTGCCTCAGTTTCCTCATCTGTCAAGTGAGCTGGAGAAGGAAATGGCAAAGCACTCCAGCACCTCTGCCAAGAAAGCCTCCCAGAAAGGGGTCACGAAGAGTCGACATGACTGAAATGACTAAACTATAATATATATAAAATGAATCTAAGGTCATTTGGGGAAGGAGTAACCTAGTTACTAGAGGGATTAGGAAAGCCTTCATATAGAAGGTAGCACCTGAGCTGAGTCCTGAAGGAAATCAGGGATCTGAGAGGTGGCAGTGAGGGAGGGATTGTGGTGCAGGCACGGGGGCAGCTATTGCAAAGTCACAGAGATGGGGCATAGTATGTGAAGAAGAGCAAGTTGGTAAGTACAACTGGACTGCAGAGTTTGTGGAAGAGAATAATGTATTAAAAGGCTAGAAAGGGGGCAGTTAGGCGGTGCAGTGGATAGAGCACTGGCTCTGGGGTCAGGAGGACCTGAGTTCAAATCCAGCCTCAGACACTTATTAGCTATGTGATCCTGGGCAAGTCACTTAACCCCATTTGCCTGCCCCCCCCCCAAAAAAGACTAGAAAGATATGAAGGGGCCAGGTTGAAGAAAGCTTTGAATGCCAAATAGGTTTTTATATTTGATTGCAGAAGTTATGGGGGAATCCAGGGGTCACATGGTCAGCTTTGGCTGGAGCAGTATTTGTGAAGGAGAATAGTAGGAAATAGCCCAGATGACTGGATGGTGGTGCCCTTGACAAAAATAGTGAAATTTGGAAGGGCAAGGGCATTTTGAGAGAGGAGAGTTCTGTTTTAGCTCGTTGAGTTTGAAATGCCAAGAGGTAATTCTTGATGCAGGACTCTAACTCAAGAGGGCCACTAAGGATGGATGTATAGATTTATGAGTAATCCCTATGGAGAAGCTAACTGAACCCATGGGAAATGAGATCCCCAAGTGAGAATGTAGAGAAAAAAGAAGAGGGCCCAGTACAGAGCCTTGGGGTATACCCATAGTTAGTAGGTGCACCATAGATGAAAGAGTGAAGGACTAAGGAACAGTGAGACAGGTGAGAGATGAAGGCCTGAGCTGAGGTGGTGGCTATGTGAATAGAGATAAGAACGTGGATATGAGATGGTTTGGAGGCATAGAACTGATAAGATATGGCACCTGACTAAATAATATGGGGTGAGAATGAGGACCTAAGGATGACATTGAGGTCATGGACAAACAGAGACAATACAGTTTGGAGAAGGGAGAGATTAGGGAGGGAGGATATGCTCTGTTTTGGACATGTTGAGTTTGAGAGAGTCTATATTCAGGTGGAGATGTGCAGGGGGGTCAGTTGTTGTGGGTCTGGATCTCAACCGAGAGAAACTAGGGCTAGTTATTTGTATTTGGGAGTGATCTTCAGAGAGATGATTGAACCCATGTAAGCTGATGAGACCGTCAAGAGACAGCAGAGAGAAGAGAGGGCCCAAGCAGCCTTAGAGGTACCCATGGTTAGGGGATAGGGTTGAGTGATCCAACAGTAGAGTGAGACAGTGATCAGAGAGGTATGAGGAGAACCCCAAGACTCCAAGACCACCGGTGCAGTGGAAGAAGACAGTGTTTAGGAGTGGGTGGGCAGCAACATCATAAGCTTTCCAAAAGGTCAAGAAGAACGAGAACTGAGAAAAGGCCATTGGATTTAGCAACTGAGAGCATTGGTAACCTTGGGGGAGCATTTTAAAGTAGAATGATGAGATTGGAAGCCAGATGTTTAAAAAAGCAAAAACAAAAACAAAAACCAGCTAATTGGCATAGTGGATAGAGCACTGGGTCCAGAATCAATAAGATCAGAGTTCAAATCTAGCCTTAGACCCTAATTAGCTATGTGACCCTGGGCAAGTCACGTAACTTCTTTTAGCCTCAGTTTCTCCAATTGTAATAATAATACCTATCTGCTAGGTTTTTTGTGATGTTCAAATGAGATATTTGGGAAGTGCTTGCCCAGCGCCTGGCCTATAGTGGGCACTTAATAAATAGTCCTCCCCCGTTGATGTTTTTTTGGTTTTTTTTTTTATATCCCAGTAATTTTTGAATATGCGAGTCTTCTTCACACCCGTGCTCTACAGTCAGCTTTTCTTTGTTAAATGGGAAACATTTAAGGAAAATGGACAGCAACTTTGTCTTGTAGTGTATGTAATGCCCTGGACACTTAGTACTTCACCTTTCTGAGGAAAAGAGGGAGATATATTGGTTGGAAGTCAGATTGCAGTAAGAAGTGACTAGGTGGGAAAGAAGCCAAGATGACAAATGTAACTTTCTCTCTTAGAGTTTGTCATTGAAAAGAAAGAGTGATAAGAATGATAGCTTGAGATGATGGCGGAGTGAAATTGAAGATAATAAAAGTAGTGATTGATGAAGCAGGATCCTGGCAGAGATGAGAAGGATTGGGATTAGGATTTCAGACACGTAGAAGAGAATGTCGCTGAAGTCATTGGTGACCTTTGAGAGCAGTTTGAATAGTGTGGCAATAGGACACAGCCTGATGAAGCAGTAGAAAGAGCCCTTGTTTATAGTCAGGAAAGCTGGGTTCTAGTCCTGACTCACGTATGATGACGCTTTAGCTGGGCAAATCACTTCACCTGGCTGAGCCTCTCTTTCTCAGTTTTTTTTTTTAATTTGTAAAAGGGTACAAATACTTGTACTATCCATCTTCACAGGGTAATGTGAGTAAAACACTTTGTAAGTCTTAAGAGTAACTACAAGAGTGAGTTACCATTCGTCATCCTCGGCAAATTTCCTCAGGGCTGGAGGAGTCAAGTGTATGTTGAAGAAGTTAAAATAATATAATAGAGACTACTTTTAGCATAACTGGAGAAAGAGAAAAGAGGCAGCTCAAGGCGGTAGAAGGTTCAGGGGGTACGGCATTGGAGAGATTGGAGAATGTCTCTTGACAGCAAGGAATCAATAGATGGAGGAGAGATTAAAGATGTGTGAGATGGGCTGATTTAAGGAAGAAGTTCTTAGAGGAGATGGAAAGGGCCCGGGGAGAAGACATCCTGCCTTGACAGGTAGCTAGCATCTGCTTTTCCCCTGAGACAGGAAAAAGGAATTAATGATAAAAGTTTTGAGAAGTGGAGGGGAGGTGAGAGTGCTGTCTTTGAATGGTCTCAATGAAGTAGGAGTTAAAGTTGCTACTAATTGTAAATGTGTTTGAATGGCTGAGGTTGGGGGAGAAGTATGTGTCAAAATAGGATTAGTGAGCAACAGTGAGGGTTAGAGGTTAAGGGATATACATTTATAATAGATGAAGTCAGTACAATTTTGTTATTATCGGTAGTCTTATTTAGTAGCCATGGAGCAGGAATAAAGAATTCAGATGGTCCTGGTTACTCAGAGTTGATGATTAGGATGGTAGAAGGTAAGGCAGAGGAGGGATTACAGAATGGTGGTGAATCATGGAAGTTGCTCAACCTTGAGTCAGGAAAACAAGAGCAGCTAGAATGGCAGAGATAGACTGGAAGGTCATGATGCCATTTATTATTTCAGCACAGTTCTCCCTATCTTCTCTTCCCTACTCAACTGTGCTTTCCTACCTTCCCTTTCCCCCGCTAAATAAAATTTATTTAAAAAAAAATTGGTGTTAGAGGCTTTATTTTTAAACAAAGAAGGAAAATGTGGGGAGAAAAAAATATGCTAAAAACCACATCTCACTCTCATCAGTACAACTTGGATGGATAGGAATAAATTGAAAACCAGCTCATTTTGACTTTTCATTTTCTGTTAATGATCCTACCAGTCCTGTCCATCTTCTACTTCCCTTCTGTTCATTGTCTGATCTTAGAGATCGATTCTGGCTCCAGAATGTCTTCCCCTGTATTTTGTGTCTAGACTATATTTACTAAGACTCCTGACTGTGTTTTAGTCTCCTGTGTACCTTTTTTCTCCCACACTGTCCATTTTGGATGGTGCTGCCAGATTAATTTTGGTAAGACTCCCCCTCCTCCAACTCTCATGATTATCGGTTATCTACCAAAGGAAGTCCATGCTCCTTATTGCCTTAATCTGGAGGTAAAAGCCTTTCACAGTCTGGCCTCCTCCTGCTTCTCTAATTCCCATACACGTTATACTCTAATTTGAGGTTCTTGACCTTTCTCTGCTTGTCCCACCTCAGTGCCTTTGCTCCCTCTTTTCTCTGAACCTGGAACATTCCCCTGACCACATCTCTGCCTGCTGAAAATCCTGCAACCTCCAGGGACTTATCAGTGGAGTCTTCTTAAATGGAATCTGCCACTCCCCTCGATGTGAACCTCTCCTTTGTCTAAATCCCAAGCGCACTTCATACCTCTCCTGGTACTTCATACAGGCTGCATTTACCATTGTCATTTATATATGTTCTCCACTAGTGTTTAAGCCTTGTGAGCCCAGAGGTTTTCTTAGTCTTTGTCTTCCTCAGTAGGGCTGGTACAGTGCTCCGGAAAGGTTTTCTCATTTTTTGTTTTTGTTTTAATTGAACCAGACAATGGCCGTTCCGTTTTAAAAGCTGATCTGTCTTTTTATTTACATGAAAATGAAAACAAGAAGATGGGTTTACAGTATGGTTGAATTTCCCTCACTTTTCTTCTAGTTGGTGCTTAGCAGATGAATTCAGACTTCATGGTAACCAGACCATCCATACCAAACTCATCATTTTATTAATGAGGCAATTGACTCAGAGGGGGAAGTGATTTTTCCAAAGTCATAAAGCTAGCCAATGGAAGAGCTGGGAGAAGAACTCATTTCACCAGTTCTCCTGATTCCTGGTCTGCGGTTATTACTCCCCACCTCAAAGAACCTTCTGCTCTTGGTGGAATTTATGATGTGAAATATAGAAGGAAAAAGATAGCTTGAATTTTAGCCGAGATTTTCTTTGGAGAGTTAGATGCCCCTACTTTTGAAGTCTTCCCCAGACTTCTTACAAACCTATGGGAAAAAGAACAGAGATCTGGATTAGCGCACTAATTAGGGACTTCCAACACCAGCAAAACTCCTGTTATAAAAAATTGCTGTACAATGAATGGGTGAAGAGATGCATACAAACAAGTGTTTATGGGAAGTCACGGAAAATAGGTGAATGGACAAAGAGAGGAGTAAAGTAAATGCAGTATAAAGTAAATGCTGCGTGTGTAGCAGAAATGCAGTGATTAAATAAGACAAGGTCCTTGGTTTCATTGATCTAAAAAGCTCCTGGGGGATTTGGAAAGTATTTTGTGTGCATCATCTTATTTGGGCTACACAACCATCTTGTAAGGTAGGGACTATTGGTGTTATACCCATTTAATAGAGGAGAAAGCTGAGGCTTAGAGAGGGGTAGTGACTTGTCAAGGGAAGATTCACACCCAGATCTTCCAGACTCTATCCACTGTGCAGTACTGCCTGTCCTAAGGAGAACTTGTAGAAGTACTAAGAGTGTTGTCAGGAAGGGAGGCCTGTGGAAAATGAGTGTCAAAAGTGGTGAATCGAATACGACATATTGTGCTTCAACATAAGCTTCGGAAAAGTGGCCTTAGTTTCCTCATCACTAAAATGAGGATGTGTGTGTGTGTGTGTAAGGAAAGATTCCTTTCCACTTATCAGCCTGTCATTCTCTGGTGCACATGGAAATCAACTTAACTGGACCTACCTAATTTTATGAGTTTTGCTAAAATTTTACCCCCACCCCTCCTTACACCTTGATTACAACAGTCCGGGACCCTGAACTCAAGAATAGCAGTGCCCCCAAGGATGCCAGTTTTGCTTCCAGATTGACCCCCTTGGCTGTCATTGAGGGGAACAACTCCTATGGAGATGCAGCTTGGCAGGAACTGCTTCTAATGATGCTAAGCCTTTGCCTCCTCTCTGCCACAACAGCTTCTAAAGACCCAGAAAAGAAAGTTCTCAGTGCCAAAGCCCTTGGTACTTCCAGATGGTTCATCATCAGAAACGGATGTGATTTAATGGAAATGACATTAAAGGTGATACATGACCCTCTGCTTTGTTCTGCCCTCTGAGAACTATGGGACCTTTCCATGTGTCTTGTAACTTTGACCTATATGTGTCATACCCCATCCCCTACCCCCCTACCCAGTGTGAATGTCAGCTTCTTGAGCAGGGACTGGCTGTGCTTTTCTTTTTGTATTCCCAAGATTTAGCACAGTGTATTATGGACTTCATTTAGTATTAACTTATACATAATCTCATTCAAGTGTAGACATTTTCAAATTTTTGTGAGCATGGGGGCAGTGCAGGGAGCATAGGGGAATGATGAAAGTAGTTACTAAAGTTTATTTCCTGGCATACAACCAGGTATTTAAATTTCTTCTATTATGCACTGGGAAACTTGAGCTAGTCAACTAAAGAATCAAATCAGTCATTCCTAACTTCATAAACTCATTGTCCCTTATATGGAAAGGGGAAAAGAGGGAGTAGAAGGAAGTCTTGGGAGTTACGGATAGTGGTGAGCGCCAAGGAACGTGTTTAAGCTCTGACTTCTTTCCTTACAGCCTTGTTTTATTCTTTGCCATCTTCTAGTCTCAGAACAGCTTAGCTATTTGACAGGACCTGAGTTCAGCCAAAATGGTTCAAAAATGGCAGCATCTAGTAGGCTCCTAAGGTCATCCACAGTTAAATAGCTAGGATTGGAGGAGGACAGTGATAAGGAACATTGTTGGGGAAATAAGACCTCGTACAGAGATCTATTTGTTATGCAAAAACAGTGATATTTCTAGGATTTGGGTTGGTATTCTGGGACTACTTAGACCATTCCCACCTGGAACTGAACATCCCCTCCTTTATTCCAGGCTCTGATTGGTGAGCACTTCCCCTTATCTTGTGTGGGCCCAGGCCCCTTAGACCCCTCCCCATCCCTTCCTCTCCAACTGTAGTTCTGAGAGCAATTATGAAACCACACTACTATCCCTGGTAAGGGTGTGCCAGTTGGTTGCCCTTTTACTCCAATCACTGTTTACTCCAGTTTCCATTTTCTTTTATTTCGCTTTCTAAAAACACTTCTCCCTAGTCAATTCTCTACACTCCTTTTCTACATATGTCTATATACGTCTCTATACTTGTCTTCTCCTGTTGGAATATAATTTCCATAAATGCAGGTACTGTCTTGCTTGTTTGTGTTTTTATGTCCATCTCTTGCTACACTGCCTGGAACGTAGTGAACACTTAATGAATTCTTTTCATTCATTTGTTCATTCATTAAGTGAATAAAATTCCTATTCATTCAACAGGTTAACAAATTTAGGGTTTATTTGGTAGACAAAGGGAGCAATGGAAGGTTTTTGAGCAATAGGGACGTGAGAACCATGCATTGGGAAGATAAATATGGCAGTTGTGTAGGAGAGGGAAGAGGGAGAGATGGTACTAAAGTAAGGAGACCAGTTAGGAGGCAAATGGTAATAAGGACTTAGGGTGGTAACTATGGAAAGATGTAAGGTAGAATGGGTAGGGGTCCTAGATTATAGTTGACAGGGACATTGACCATCTAGTTCAATCTGCTCATTTTATAGATGAGGGAATTAGGACCCATTGACATCTAGTGACTGGTCCAGATTTATACAGGTGGCAGGTGGCAGAGCCAGGATTCAAACTCAGGGATTCAACTCCAAACCCAGCACTTTATCTACTACACATGATTAGGGAGAAGGAGATGCCTTGCTTACATGTATTGGTGACTCAGTAAATATGTCTTGATTGAGAAAAGCTTAGCCTATAAAAAAGAATGCAAAAACATCTTTGAGCTATTAGGCAAACGTAACCTTGATGGCCAGTCCCCAAAAGAGTCACTTTTTCTGTTGCTTGAAACATTTAACCTTTTGGGGGATGGGGCAGGAAGAGCCTAATTCATCTTGATAAAGCCTTCCTCTCATAGTTAGGAGATATTTAGGTTCTTAGATGATTCCCCCTTGTCCCTATTATGGATGTTTTGACATCCAAATTAGCCTGACCCTTCCAACCACCTGTTATTCTGTCCCTGGGGCTGGCTGCAGTGTTTAAAACCAAGCAACCATCCAGCAAACCAAAATCTATCCTCTCTGCTTTGCCTACTTCCGTATAATGGCTAATGGCTTATTTTCCTAGTTTTTCTCCTGCTTATCTTCCAGGGAAGGATTAGAAGCTGTTGCTGGATTTTTGATAAGTCTTTTTCCCCCCCAGGAAAGGACTGCTCACCCAAAGAAAGCTTGAAATCCTATGAATTCCCTCCCAATGGAAGGCCTAGCCAGTTCTAGTTATCTCTTCTGTGTTAGGATTAGCTACTGCACAACACTACTCCATAGGGACATAGAACAATGATGCATAGGAGAATCGGGCAGTGCTAGCTTTTTTTAGAGACCCAGGTCACCTTTTTTCTCAATCATGTAGAAGGTCCACAACCCCGAGGTCGCACTCAGGTAAATCCCCCTTCCTGGACATACCTTTAAGGGCTAGCAAGCCTATGACCGTTAGTCCCCAGATTTTTTCCTCCAGGGAGCTCATCTTGCACGATCTTTCACTGTGGCTAGGTAAGGCGCTTCCTTCGTATTTTGGTTCTGTCGTGGTGTAGTTCCCTTTCTCTGGTTCAAAACATAGAATGATCAGGTTTAAAGGGGATGCCGGTGGCAGTGAGTCTGTTAACCTGCCTTCATCAATCTTCCCTTTTCATCATCATTCCAAGGATAGTAACACCTTGCATTTATATGGTACTTTAAAGTTTGCAGATTTCTTTTCTGTCTCCTACTATAGCATCATGTCCAAATAGGTATTTAACGAGTGCAAAGTGGATGGTGATTTTTTTTTTTTAAGGCTTTAGAAAAAAAAATCAGTACCTATGGTTTCTTGTGTAGGGAATTCATATGAGAACTCCTTCTGCTGATGCAGATAAGTCTTATTAACACTTTTAAGTACCTACCATGTGTTAGAGGGTTGATATCTCCTTTCCCCACATTCGTTGCTGGGGAGAAAGAGACAAGCTATGTGTTTAGATCTGTCCGGAGTCCTATTGTCTCTGGCTTCCTGAACCAGTTAACAGTTGTTTTCTTGCCAGGTTTTGGGATCCTATCTGGAGCTCATTTGGTTGGATTGAGCTCACTGTTGCGTTTAAATGGCTGAAGTTATCTTGTTATTTATTTATTATGAACATCGACAAACCACCTGGTCTCTAGCGTCCTTCTCTTGAAACCGGCCCCTAAACCATTCCAGACAAATGAGAATCCGGACCGTGTTTGGAGGACAGCTGACTTCCTTCAGTCACTCATTCCTATTTCTGACAAGCCTACGGGGAAGGACCGTTCTTGGGTCTAAGCTGAAATGCTTTATATTGTCACTTCCACAGCTTAGCCTTGTTTGGCCTTCATTAAGGTGCCCCAGGGGAAGATAGAGAGGCTTAATGTACATCTCTCTGCTGGTAAAGAGTTCCTGTCCTTGACTCCCTTGTCTCTCTGTTGGTTAAGACAATAACAGTATTGTGAGATCATAGGTTTAGAGTTGGATGAGACCTTAGAAGTGATCTAATACAGCTTCATTTGGAAGAGGAGGAAACTGGGGGCCAGAGAAATTAAATAGCTTGTCCCAGGTCACACAGGGAGTAAGTGACAGAGCTAGGATTCAAACCCAGGTCTCTTGATTCCGACCCCAGCATTACTTTTACTGTACTATACTGTCTCCCAGGTGTTCCTGGGATGGCACCAGGAGAGTTAGCAAATTCAGTAAAAATGGACCAGCACTGACTTCCTTATGCTGTTGCTACTCCCCATAAAAATCTTTAATTTAGAGTTTCATTAGAAGTAAAATGAGATGATGTTTGTGCAATCTCATTTCAGTGCAGTGGAAGTAGGAAGGAGTAGCCTAGTATAGCCTGGGAAGCACGCTGGATTTACAAGACAGCTAGGTTTGAATTCTGCTTCTGACATTTACTAGCTGCGTGACCACGGGCAAATCCCTGAACCTTTCTGAGCCTCGGTCTCCTCAGCTGTAAAATGCAAATAATAGTGCCAGTTAATAACCTACCTCCCAGGGTTATTGTGAGGATAATGACCACAACTGATGGATAGCACTTTAAAGTTCTGCGATTAAATTTAAACTCCATGGCAAGGCATTTAGGGCTCACAGTCTGGCCTCTCTCTATATTTCCAGTGTTGTAGCGTATTACCTCTTTCCATGTCTAAGGTCTAGCCGTAGAGGTCCACACAGGATGCTCCACCTCCCATGGCTGGTTGTTGCCTGTGCCTGACATGCTCTCCTTTCTAACTTCTACCTCTTAGAATCCCTGGCTTCTTTTAAGACTCACCTCAAGGGCCACCTTTTGCATTAAGGCCTTTCCTGGGGCTCCAAGCTCCCAGTGTCTTCCTCTCTTAAGTTGCTACCTTTGTCTGCTCTGTATTTATCTTGTATGCACTGATTTATGTGCGTGTTATTTCTCCTATTAGAATGTGAGCTCTTTGAAAGCAGGGATTTTTTTTCCCTGTTGTATTCCCTGTATTTAATACAGTGCCTGGCACAGAGTAAGCACTTAATAAGTGCTTGCCAACTGGTTAATTTGCTAAGTGATTTACACACAGAGATTGTATATGTAAATACTTTGTGAACCTAAAAGCACTCTATGAATGTCAGCTGTTATTACTACTGTGCTGAAAAATGTGGAATGGAAAAGGAATCTATGTCCTTGATTATCACCATTCCTACGAAAGTTTAACCAGCATAAAGCAGTTACTACAAAGAGGAGGCAAAAAGAGGCAGAAATTACTTTGATCAGCAAACATTTGATCTTTTTGCCATGTGGAGAGGGGCGGTTACAAGCACAAGGCCAATTTAGAATGAAAACTCATGAAATGCTGCAGAGGATTCTCATGAAGTCATGAAAAGCAATAGCGGCTAAACCAAGCATTTAGAAAACAGTGTGAACCCCACCAAAATCATCAAAGATCACTTCGCCTCTTAAGGAAGTGTCCTGGTGTAGTGGAAAGCACCAGGAGAGACCAGGTTCAAATACTGCCTCAAACACTTACTAGCTTGTGACCACAAGCAAGTTATTCAGTTACCCTGAGCCTTGACCTTCTTCATTAATGCATTTGGGAGGCAGGCAACAAATAGATGTAAATCGGAACACATTTATCAATGTTTTTATAATGATCTACTTCCATCATCAACGACAGTGAAACCATTCCATTTGGGCCCCAATATCTCAGTTCCTCAGGAAATCAAACTGGAACTTACGAACTCAAGATGAGTGTTGGACCAGACCAGGTACCCACTGAGGAAGTGTGTGGCATCTGCACACTCTTGAAAGCATGGAGATGGTTTTGCAAGACATGTCAAGAAAGAGATGATACCAAAAGAATGGAAATAATAATGAACAATAATGCCCCAAAAAGCAATTTAAAAAATATTGGTTACTGTTGACTCAGATGCCTACTTTCTTATCTTTATAAAGTTTTTATGACAATGATCTACAAATAGGGCAAAGGTATCTTTGAGGAAAACATGAGAAGGGAGCAGGAAGGCTTTCTGCAATGTTTTCCTATGGCAGTCTACAGCATTACGCTGACAGATGACTAAAAGGTACAGAGAATACAAGAGCTGCTAAATCTATGGGATGATGGAAAGAATGCTACCTTCAGGGTCGGAAGACCTGGTTGGAGTCCTGCCTTAGGTATTTACTATTTAAGTGACACTGCTTCTCTGGGAATTGGTTTTCTCATCCATGAAATGAGAAGGCTGGATTAAATGAGCTCTTCAGGTTCACTGCAGATCTACCATGCTGCGGTCCTTTTAGCAGGAGGGCATGCCTTTGTGGAAACAGGCTAGCAGTGCCCCTGTGTGTTCTGGAGCTTCCCTAGGCCATGAGTTAATGACCCTGATGGCCATCCTTGTCAGTGGCTTTGGGAAGGTATGCCTAGAGAGGTTGCATATGCTATGTGGAGAGACTCTGGAAGCTAGTGGCATGGGGAGAAGCCCCTGGACATCGTGTATCTCACCTGTGATTTTCACAGAGATATAGTGGCTCTGAAAGAGGGCGTTGGGATTCTGGCTGCTTGCACAGCACTGGTAGATGCCACTGTCCGCTGGCTTGGCCTGAAGGATGGTAAGGACTGTGGAGGTATAGTGTTCCTTCAAAGTGTCTTCTTCTCCCACTTCCACTTCCCTTTTTAGTTTTAGCTGCTTCAGGCTGGTCCTAGGAGAGCAGCCTTGTGCCATCTTGTTCTTACACCAAAACATTGTCAGACCCTTGGCCTCTCCTTTCTTATATGACAGGGTGCAGTTTAAACTCAGTTTTTCTCCTTCTTGCAGGAAAACTGGCCCTCTGGAGCTGAAGATGTCCACGCAGCCTAGAAGGTGAAGGGAAAGGTTAGCAAAAATGGCACTACTAGTCTTATGCCCCAAAGAGGTCAAAAAAAAAAGAGGGGGGGAAAGATCTGTATCCAAAAAGATTTCTAACGGCTCTTTTTTTGTAGTTACAAAGAACTGGAAATGAGGGGGGTACTCATCAACTGGGGATTGGCTGGACAAATTATGGTATATAATAGTGGAATATTATTGTACCATAAGAAACGAAGATGGGGGATTGTTTGAGAAAAACCCAGGAAGACTTGCAAGAATTGGTGAATAGGGAAGTGAGCAGAACCAGGAGAAAAACTGATGCAGTAATAACGTAAGCACAAGCAATTTTAAGAGACTTAAGTACTATCAGTGATCACTGCAGTGACCAGCCATGATTCCAGATGAAGCATGCTATCCACCTCATGACAGAGAGACGATGGACTTGAGAAATGACCCATGGGCTTTTCCGCATGGCCAATGTGGGGATTTGTTTGTAGATTTGCTACAAGGTTTTTAGGACCCCCCCCCCCCCATATTCTTTTTAGGGGGAGAAGTGGGAGGGAAAGAAAATAAGTGTTTGTTAATTGGAAAAAAATAAAATAAGTCAAAAAATTTTAAATCTGAGCTGGGTTTATTAAAGAACAAAAAATAAGGTTGGGCAAAGCAAGGATCAAGTCTAACCAGAAAGGGATCTCTCTTCTTTCTTGTTTTCAATCATCAGTTAAACAGCAAGTATTATTTACTGAGCACCTACTAGGGGCGAGAGATTTATAAGATAGAGCTTTAAAGGACCTTAGGCTATCTAGTACAACCCTCTTATTTTACAGCTGAGAAAATGAGGCATCCTAATCTGATTGCATCTTGTATGTTCCTACTTATGTACATATTGTCTCCTCCATTAGAATTTAAGCTCCTTGAGGGTAGGGGCAATTTTTGCCTTTCTTTGTATTCTCAGTGCTTGGCATAGTACCTGGCGCAACTGTAAGCATTTAATTAGTGCTTATTGATCGATTAATTGCCCAGGTTAGCAAGTGTATGGGGTAGGATTTGAACCCAGGTCTTCCTGACTCCATGTGCAGCACTCTATCCGCTGTTCCATATTGTACTAGATGAGCCCTTCCAGTGCTAAGATTCTGTTATTCTGAGCTTCCAGCACGCTAAGATTTCATAATCTATGTTTATGAAATTCTAAGATTCTATATATGATTCTAAACTACATGCCTAACCCTATATATGTGATAGTCTGGTCTCTTTAGCCCTTTGAGGGCAAGGGCACAGTTATTGCCTTCTCTTCTATCTTCCTTTGTAGTACTTGGCACAGTGCTGCTTATCAGATGGTAAAATTTAAAGAATATTGACTGCTTAAAAAAAAAATAGGGCCCATGAATGGAAGTGAACATGGGACCTTAGCATGAGTAGGCCTTGTGACCTGGAGGTGAAGAGCCAGACCTCCTCTCTCCCCTCACCTCCATTACCAAAACAAAAGGGTGGGGCTGCCAGTCCCTTTCCTCTGTATACTCAAATTGCATGTTGTCTTTTTCTCTCCACGGTTGCATTTGATACTCATTTTAATCTGATACCTGAATAAATGTTGGGAGTTGTGAGAGAAGGTAGACACATAGTATGATTTGTTCAAGGCTATGCTCCCTGCTTCTCATTCTCCTTTATTTCCCCCATTCCTCCTTCTTCCTTCAGCAAATGCCCTGAGCTCCAAAAATGAAATGACTTCCCTTGATGGCTTGTAAGTTCCTTATCAATTTGTGATCACTGAGCTAAGTTTGGGTAATCTCTTGTCAGGGATGTTGTTGGCTAGGGTCACACCTTGGGTGGGGTAGGTAGTTATTGGGTAGTTATATGTATTTTATATATGTTATATATACCTATATAACTATAGGTAGTTATATAAAGATCTCCAAGGTCCCTTCCAGATTTATAATTCTATGAGATTCTCCTAGGGAAGGCCCTGCTAGGGTTCAGGGGATAATTTCACCTTTAAATGGTAGGAAGTCCTTAAAACCAAAACCAGGTTTATTCAGTTGAATTTGGTGGTTATGGCCTCCCCCAGAATAGACCATGAATACAACTGTTACTAAGAATCAGAATCTCAGAGTTAGATGAGATCTCAGAGGCTTTCTGGTTCAACTTGTACCTCAACATCCCTGTTAAGTAGTCATCCAGCCATTACTTGAAGACCACTCATGAGGGGGAACCCATTACCTCATGAAGATAGCCCATTTCATTTGGTATCATTCTAAAAACTAGAAAATTTTTGGTCTAGCATTTTCTGAATTTATCTGATTGTAGCCCACATCTCTCTATCTTTTCCACAAGAAGACCATGACAGACTTTATCAAATGCCTTGCTAAAATCTAAGTAAACTTTGTCTACTGTATTTGCAGCATTCCTCTGACCTCCCAATACAGTAAGTCTGTTGAAAAACAACAAGAAAACCACGAGGGAAGGCTTCATGCTGACTCTTTGTGATCGTTGTCTCCTTTTCTAGATATTCACCAACCTTCCCTTTAGTAATACTTCCTACAGTTTTTGTAGACATTGAATATCACTGGTTAAGTTACCTCACCTCTTTGGGTCCATTTTTTTTTCTGTGTTATGAGAGGATTGGAGTATATAGTTTCTGAGATCACCTCCACGGCTAACATTCTGTCATTCTGTGACTGACTTTCTGTATAACTTTGGGCTAGTTACTTGCATCTTTGGGCTTCGGTTTCTCATTGAGGAAATGAACGAGTTGTCATCATTGGTCTCCAAGGACCCTTCCAGTGTTTTGAGAAATTAGAATAATAACGTCTTACATTTGTGTAGGGCTTTTAAGTTTCCAAATGCTTTCATATACATTGGCTCTTCACAGTACTGAGAGGTGGGGGGTTATTCCTCCCAACCCTTTCCCTGACCCCCATTCCCCTTCTACATATGAGAAAACTGAAGCATAGTCAAGCAAATTGTCTGAAGCGGTGTCTAGAATAGAACCAGACCCCTTCACTACCAGCTCCAAGACCTTTCATTGTATTACACTGCCAGGTTTAGGGGTCAAGAGTCTGGGGGTCAGGATAGAGTCAAGTGGCCTGGGGAAACAAATGAGTTGGAATTGTTCCAAGATGGAGTCCTTTGAAAAGTATTAGGATGACTTGGAATAATTCTTTTCTCCCCCTAAAAAGATGTTTAGTGGCTGCCATTCCTCCCCCGGCTATGCCCTGATATGATTTGTTCTTTAGGGATCTGGCCTTACCAGCTTTCTTAATCTCCACTGCTACTATCAGGACAGCCATGAGAAAACATCTCAAGCCAGTCGCCATCAGCAGCATCTAGGGCTAAACCCAAAGGCAGGTTCACTTTGATATCCCTGGCTTCTCCTTTCTGAAACAGACAAGCACAGAATGGACAAGACATCATAAGGACAGGCATAAGGATAGCTAATGACCACCAGAGGCTTTGTTCCACCAAGGCTTCAGTTTCAGTGAACCAGAGCACACAATTAGGAAGATTGGTTGGGAAGGGAGAGGTCATCTAATTGGGATGGAAAGGAGTAAATGGAAGAATGAGGGGAGGAGAATGAGAGGTACAGAGTGATGGAGGGGAGAATGAGAAGGAAAGAACGGAAGAACAGAAGCAGGGTCAGAGATCAAGAGCCAGGAGAGAGGATAATAAGGGAGGGAACACTTTGATAATAGTAACTTGATTTTATATAAACACTTTTAGTGGTATAAAACTGTTTGCCTGCAACTGCTTTGTGAAGTTGGGCAGCTGGGTGTCTTACCAGAGCTTACCTCACCCTGTGCCACCAGCTGCTTCAAGTAGCTCCAGTGAACTAGTAAGGATTGAAATCAGATTACAGGAACTAGGTGGCACCATAATGCATTGCTAGGCCTGGAGCCAGTAAGACCTGAGTTCAAATCTGGCCTCAGATACTTACTCTCTGTGTGACCCTGGGTAAGTCATTTAATCCCATTTTCCTCAGTTTCCTCATCTGTAAAATGAGCTGAAAGGAGAAGGAAATGGCAAAACTACTCCAGTATCTTTGCCAAGAAAACCCTCCGTAGGGTCACAAAGAGTTAGACACGACAGAAACGATTCAACAACAGAAGAGGTCAAGGTGATTAGTGGTTGGTGACAAAGTAAAGGCTGCACCAGTGTAAAGTTTTATCTGAAAGTGGAGGGGGGAACGTTGAAATATGAGGTGAATGCGACCTGGTAGAATCAAGTTATGGTTTCTTGAAAGTTTGGAGGGAATGTGGGAGTCGGAAAAATGGAGAGGAAGGCCCCCACGGAGAGGGAGGAGTCTGTGGTAGTAGAGAAAGAGAGGATGAACATGGAGAGGACTGGAGGTTTACAGCAGCAAAGGAAGGCCATTGCCTCCATTTTGCCTAGAAAGGAAGTATGAACCCAGACAGCTCCTATTTGTCAAACTCCTGCACTCCTACGTGCAGAGTGTGGGGTGCAGTGGAAAGAACATTTAACTAGGAGACAAATCCCGGTCTCAAGTCCTGTTACTTAGAATCGCAAAATAGCAGAGTTGGAAAAGACGTTAGATGCCATCTCCTCCAACCCATTCATGAACCTACTCCACAACATCCCAAGAGATTATCCACTTAAAAACCTTTAGTGAGGAAGGAGCCCAGTACCTCCTAAGGCAGTGTATCCCACCTTTGGACAGCTCCAACTGTTTGCAATTTTCCCCTCACGTTAATCCTAAATCTGCTTCCATTTTATTTACGTCTGTGGCACCTGCTTTTCCCTTCAGGGGCCAAAAAGAATGTATCTAATCCCTTCTCTATATGACAACTCTTCAGATAATTAAAAAAAAACCCATCTTGTCCCTTTTTAAGTCTTTTCTAGACTATACATCTTCATTTCTTTCAATTTGACCTTCAAGATAGAGTAATGGAGGTCCTTCACCACCTTGGTCACCTTCTTCCGGATGTCTCCTGTCATCAGTGTCCTTCCCTTGCCTTAGCACAATACTTCAGAGATGGATTGATCAGGGCAGGACTCTGATTTCCCTAGTCCTGGACACTTTATATCTTGCTGTAGCTTAGGAGAGAATTAGCTGTGTTGGCTGCTGGGTCACACTGGTGATTCATAGCAACTTTTCAGTCCACCGAAACCCCCACATCTTGTTCCCACAAACTTGTCATCCAGTCATTCCTACTCTATCTTTTCTTGTAAAGTCAATTTTTTAAAACAAATTGTAGAACTTTAGGTCATGGTGGAGTAATTTGAATTCCTGTTTGGGAAGAATTGCTAAACTGGAAAATCAAGGGAATGCTATAAATATAATTTGCCCGCATTTCCCAGTCAGGATTTGGTCTGAAGCATTTTCTAGCTGTGTTTGGGGTAGTTTTGTTGGAGTGGGGATTGGGGAGGGGAAAGGGAAGGAGCTGGCTGTATTTCTTCCTGCTGCTCCACCATTTTGCTTCCGACTCCTGGCATGACTTATTTTAACTGAAGCCATTCTGGTTCTTTGTGATCACTGTTTCCATTTCTAGATGTTGGTTGACAAACCATCTTTCTCTTTTATCTTCTCTTTTATTTTCAGTTCCCAGTTCTCTCCTTCTCTCATCCCTTTCCTCTACCCATTGAGAAGGCAAGAAAAGCAAAACCCATAACAAATTGTCCCTTTAGTCTGGGATGCTGTGCTGTGCTCCTGGGATTAGAGCCACACAATTAGATGTTGGCTTCCAGTATCTTTTTCTTTTCTCAGTGCACAACGAGGGCCAACACCCATAACTACTCCTGTCCACTGTAGATCTGTGACCCAGAACTGTCCAGAACTATCAGCATTGGGTGCCAAAGCAGCCAGATGACACTTGTTCTCATACCCAGCTTTTGTTGGAGTTCCCTGGGATCTCTTTCTAACCTAGTACTTCCTGCCTTCCCATCTCTTTTTTTCTGCCTTGGTGCCTCTTGCCCTGGCACCCTATCCCGATCTTCTTTGTGTCCATGGATGCTGGTAATGCTCCTGCACTCCTGGGCAGCCCTTGTCCCCTGGAGCCATACATTCCCCACTGTCTCCCTAAGCTCCCCTGGGCTAGAAAAATAAACTTGTTGGGATTTTCTCTTGTTTTTTTTTTTTTCTGATCAGAATTCAGGTTGCTGCATTTTCTAGATGTTTATTGAGGAGGTATGATGTACAAACTAGATTCTAATGCTTCCTCTCCCTCTGCCATCTTGACTCCAACCACTAACTATCTCTTTAATATGTTCTGGAACTTTTCCAGGAATTGGAGTCAACTTTGCCGGCCTAGAGTTTGCTAATTCAATTCTCTTAGCTTTTTTTGAAAATCAGGACATTACCTTTCTGCAATCATGTGGCCTTTTCTATTTTCTATTTCCAATTTCTATTTCCTGTTTTCTATGATCTTTTAAGTATTGGTGACGGTGGCTCAACAATCACATCAACTAGTTCCTTCAAGACTCTGTGATGTAGCTTATTTGGTTCAGGTGATTTGAATTCTTAGTCTGCCCTGTGACACAGTGGAATGAGCAGTGGCAATAAAGTCAGAGAACCTGAGTTCAGATCCAACCAATGATACTTCCTGAGCTTGTTTTCTTATTTGTAAAATGAGGAGGTTGTACTATGTGACCACTAATGTTCATGCAGTTTTTAATAAAATCTATGATCTTTATTGCTAATGCTTTATTGTTTCATTTTGTTCTGTTCTTTCCAGTCCAAAGATCATTCTCCTTGGCAGATGATTCAAAAGCAAGATAAAAATTGAACAGCTCTATCTTCTCTGTGTTGTCATTCACCATCTAATCTCCTTTGTGAGCAGTAGCCCTATCCTTTCTTTGATCCTTGTTTTCCCCCCACTAACTAAAACAAACCAAAAACTCCCTGGGTTGACCTTAGCCTTCTGTTCCCCTTAGTTCACATTCTGAGCTTTATTATTCCTGACATTTTTAAATTAACAGGATCGAAATTCAAAAAGATGTCAATAGATTTAGAAGGTCATCTAAGCCAGCAAGATGAAAAATAGGTAGACGGCAGCATGATATAGTAGAAAGATAGCTGGAATTGGAGTCATAGGACTGGTGTTGGAATCCTGGCTTTTCCATTTATCCATCCAGAGTGACCTTGAGCAAAAGTCATTTAACTTCTCTGGACCTCAGCTCCCACATCCATACAATGTCAAGTTGGACCAGTTGACCCTTAAGGTCCCTTCTCGCTCTAAATCTGTGATCCTTTGAACTTGTTATCACTTGCATGTTTGCAAATATGGATAGAGGCCAATACAAAATGGGGGAAAATATGAAAGACCTAAGGATTTCAGTGTGAAATGTCTGCCCCCAAAAGCTCATGCAAATGTGAGGCTGGAGTAATAGAAATATGGTATCCAGAACATGAGTGGAAATAATTTCAAGGCTGTCTATACTGGTTGAGACCATATTTGGAGTAACTGGTTTAGTCATGGACAGGATATCATGCCCATCCTCAAAAAATCCTACTTGAGGCATCCATCCCTACTGTGGCTGAACTTGAGAAGTTGGTCTAAATTAGGGGCCTTCATAGCTTTTCTTCTTGCTTTCTTATTAACTCCACAGTCTGGCTTTTGACCTCATCAAGGCCTGTTGATTTTATCCTTGTAACATCTTTTTCGCATGAAACTCTTGTCTTCTAATACTCCAGCACAGTGTCTGGCACATAATAGGTGCTTAATAAATGTTAATTGATGGATTGACTGCTACCACCCTGGTAAAGGCTCTCATCACCTCACACCTGGACTATTGAAATAGCCTGCTGGTTGGTCCCCCAGCCATGAGTGTCTCCCTTCTCCCAGATCATCCTCCTCCACTGAGCTGGCACTTCCATTTTCCTTAAGCAAAAGTTCGACCATGTCACCCCTCCCCACCCCATTTAATAAATTCCAGTGGCTCCCTATCACCTCTAGGGTAAAATATAAAATCTTCTGACGTTCATAGCCCTTCGTAACCTAGGCTCCCCACCCTTCCAGTTTTCTTACATTCCCCCCACCCCCTATGCTCTTCGATCCCATCAAAAGGCATTCCATTTCTAGACTCTAGGCATTTTCACTGGCTGTCCTTCATGCAGAGAACCCTCTCTCCTCTTCATCTTCATTTCCTGGTTTCTCTGACTTCCTTCAAGTCTCAGCTAAAATGATACCTTCTATCGGAAGCCTTTCCTGAACCCCCTTAATTCTAGTGCCTTCCCCTCTGTTGATTCCATCCAGTTTATCTTGTATATAGTTTATTTGTTTGCGTATTGTTTTCCCCATGAGCATTTGAGCTCCTTGAAAGCAGGGACTGTATCCCTAGTGCCTGATACATAGTAGGTGCTTAATAAATGTTTATGGACTGACTGATTAATTACAATCCCTTCAATTTAGTAAGCATTTATT